AAATACGAATCAACTTTCACTTGGCGAAAAAATTCAATTTTTGGCGAAAATCGACTTTCACCCTTGACCCACGTGAAAATGAAAATTTTTTTTCCCCTTTTCTGTCACCTCCGAGGGTTTCATTGGCATCAGGGGGTCAATAAATACAGAATCAACGTTCACTATTTTTTATTTAAACACCCCCTGCAAACGGGGAGATGAGGGTGGCTAAAATATATTCTGCAACCCTGTCTCCTCGTTGGCTACAAATTTCAACCCTCCGCATACATGCCTTCCCCTTCACCCGCTCGTAAAATCACGCGTTCTCGGTAGCATCGAGGAGGACTTCTCAGGACCGAAAAGAACTGAGGATTCGAATGGTCTCTGGAAAAGTACGTCGCAGAACTGATTAGGACTTACCAGGTCCATCTAGGTCTGGAGAGATCTTGAAAGACCTGTGTACGTCCAATCAGAACCAAATCCTCGACTCGGGTACCAATCAATTAGCATTCCCCATCACCGTTGAACAATTCAGAAAGCAGGTAAAAGAGGTTATCCTAACTCTCCATGTCCGCCCACTCAAAATTCACCGTCACATGTACAAGAGTTTGACGGAAAATTACGTAAATTTACTGTTGACGTTTATAGCAGAAGTACCATGGGGCGAGCTATTAGCGTTACACTAATGGTGGGGTACAGTTAACGCACTAGTACCACTAGTACACCATATACCTGACCAAAATGCAGATCTTTTAATGCGTCCCTTAATGGCACTAGCACCCACACACACGAGTAAAAATACCACGTGAGGTTTTTCACTTGTGAAATTTGCGTCACGCTGTGATGAATTTTTAAAGCTTTTGTATGAGACACATTGGGGTCGAGGATGTGTGCTTTGTTGAGCTCTGACATTCTCTAATTATCGTGTTAGCTATGCCCAGATGTTTATTCAATATCTTTTGGTGGATTTAATTGATCAAAGAAAATGGAATTATTAAAATGAGACGGAAGATAAAATGAATTGAAACTCGCCGAGGTGTACCTGTTTGTCTTTTAATTTTCTTCAATTACTGTGTCATGATCAAAGGGGGCACTTTAATTTTCCTGTCTTATCCGAGACGGTTTATCCCATCCTTCTCAACTTTCTTCTCTCTCACCACCGTTGCTCCACTCTTTTGACCGTCGATTTATTCAACCTGACGTGCAATTGCCGGGCTCAACATTGTATATATACAATTTATAACGTCGAGCTTGACTAGAATGAACCAATAAAATTGCCCCCGTTTTAACCTACAAATGCAACGACTCCGGAAACAAAACAACAAAATAGTCCTCGGTTTATCCGCACGTATTTGCACATACTCGCTAAATTATCATTATTCTCTTCTTCCGTTTTTTTAGTTTAAAGGGGAGTACAGGTGAACTTAATTGGGGCGTTTTAAGAGACCCTGGTGGTACGGGGGAGAATATTTTAAGTTGGGTTGAGAGGGTGAAAAAAAATAAGGCTGGGGTATAAAATTTCAGGGTATTTTCTTGCACACTGGAAATTGGCTGAGGGGGGTTTCAACCTAATTTGTCGTGAGAATTTTTTTACAACGTTTTTGCACTTGGAGGGCTGCTGCCGGGTTAACATGGGAACCTTAGATGGGGGAGGGACGCTGGACAAGTAGGTTGCTGGGGTGTAGTGGACAGTTTCTGGTTGATGGAATAGAATAGTGGATCTAACACGAGGAGAAAACGCTTTTGCCTTGAGCATCGGACGATATTTTTCGTCGTCGTGTAAATTCAATGATGAACAGAAATGGTCATATCCATTAATTAGAATTACCGTTCATTTTTTAAGTAGTCAATTGGTTAATATCACTCTTAAATTTTAATTATTGAAGTCAGCATCAATTTTAAATATTCAAATTTCGAACTATCTATTATTATCAATTATTATTTCGAATTCGAGTAGTATATATACATATATATACCTGTAATAATAATAATAATAATAATAATAATAATAATAATAATAATAAAATGTAATAATTATCAAACTGAAAAATCAATTATTTGAAATAATAATAATTCTTTTCAGTAAAATATAATGTTAGTAATATCAAATATTATTTTTAAGTAGTCAATTGGTTAATATCACTCTTAAATTTTAATTATTGAACTCAGCATCAATTTTAAATATTCAAATTTCGAGCTATCTATTATTATCAACTATTATTTCGAATTATTTATTATTATTTATTAATCAGTTATTGAGTTAGGGAGATTGACGATTATTTGAAAATAAAATGAAATTTGAAATGAAAAAACTTGACATTTTCAACAGCCCTTAATTTGCATGAAATTTATGTCCATTTTATTACTGAAAAATCAAATTCAATCAAATTGTATATATGACAAAGAAAATTATTGAAAATTCAATTGAATTTAATATTCAATTTTCATAATGAGGGCTAAAATTCAAGATGTCGTTGAAGTGCCAATGATAGTTCACCATGAAAAACTTAATTTTATTGAATATTCAATATTAATTTGTATTTTAGTTTTGGCCTCTGCGGTCATTAGCTGATTCTACATGAAGGAGTCTATTATGTCTAAATGATAAAAATTGATCCAGTCATTTAGCCTAAGCCCAATATTTCGATTCCCTTTGTCGGGTCCTCCTCAGGAGCACACTTTATTGATGTCCACAATCAAATTAAAACAGAGAATAATCAACAGTTTAAAACCTATTACGTACAAAACTGCATAAAACTAAAATACAAGTTAAAAAATCGGTGGAAATCCTCTCCACAACATTCAAGATTAATGGCAACTTTCATGAATGATATGATCCTAAATTGAATTAAACCCCACGACATTGAAAATTCAATAACAATCGTCACCGGAACCTAAATAAATTTCTAATAGTGCAACATCGAATTCGATTTCGCGAGGAAAAATCATGAAATTTCCAACTTCATCGAATTTTCAATGAAACCATGAATATTCAGCACCAAATTACGGAAAATCTTCAATCAGTTAAGAATGTAAGAATATATTAACCTGAATTTCCCTGACTTCCACTAATTGCAAGGAATAATTAAACTGAAACTCACAGTTCTTCTCGATTTTTCCGTCGAATTGTGAAATGTCACCGTCCAAATTCTTTGAAATTCAAATAAAAAAATTGTAAGTGTACTATTTACAAACTAAATACCATATTTTTGCATTTCCAACTGTGATAACTCCACTCCCCCAACTCCCATAAAGAACTTCATAATTCCGAAGCTCCCCGCCTAACAACAAAAAAGCTCGCCCACTCTCTGAAATAAACCCAAAACATTCTTGATAAAGTGGATATACTCAGACGAGGTCAATCTTGTAAAAAATTTCCCTATAAATCTTGATATATGTGGATTAAAACTTCAGGATAAATTCTCAAACTGACCCAGTTATGTTTACTCAAGCTCAGCCCAACCTCCGTGTATCACGCTAAAAACCATAGTTTTTTATTTACCCCCCTTCAGCAAAAAGAGGCAAACTTTTATATGTTTAATGTGAAAGTATTAATCCCCAGGATAGGGTACAGCTTTTTGGCACGGGATCGAACGCAAGTGCTGGAAGGCTGGGCTCATAAATTATTTATCCACGTACTGGATCCTACTCCCAAGCTCATGGACCAGTTGGAGAGTGGGGGATTTATCTGGGGCGATCGCCCAACTGAATTTTAGGATAAAAAATACAAAATAGAGGAGTCAATGTGACCCACGACGCCTTTTACCGTTTGTAAACCTCTGGTGTTTAGGCATTAGGCGCCAAGAAAGCAACAGTTTGAGGAAAACAAAAGGCCGGAAGTGGATAAACACCAGAGGAAACTCGAGTTTGTTTATTTTTTCTCTCAATTTTTCGCATTTATCTTGAGTTTTTTTTTCCAGACACTTCCGTTTGTTTTATTCCAACAGACGGCTCTTGAACCTGGGAGAATGTGGGGGGGGGGGGAGGGTTTTGAAATCCTTTAAANAGTGCTACAGACCTTGACAGTAAAGTTGTTACTCCCGTCCTTCACACAGTTTTTCTTCGATTTTTTGTTAAACAAATTTACATTCACATTATAGTGACAATAAAACTGCATGGGTGGAGGATACAATGGTCGCATTGTTTACTTCGTTAGGATTTCTATGGAGTGATAAGACATAATTTTTTATGGAAATTAGAGGGGGGAGGTGGGAATTATCTCCCTTCGTTTTTTGCTTTTTCCGGATTTTCCTTTATTTGGTTTTGCTTTTTTTCTTCTCTTTTCACTTTAATTCTTCTTTGTTTTCAGTTTCCACCGGGGGAGTGCACATCTGCCTGAGAGAACTTAAGCTACTCTACTTCGAGCGGACAGTGGAGTATCCCATGGATGTGCAGACGGAAATTTCCATATCGCTATTTTTGTATTAGAGGGAATGGATTATTTTAATTTGCTCTTGTATGATTCCGGATGTTGAGAGGGGTTTGGTGGGGGGAGGGGGCGGTGGGGGAGGGGCTCGCTCACCTGTGAACGACGTTGGCGAGGAGATCGTTGTGCCGCAATCTGTAGTCAACGTCGACCTTCTGGTAATTGACCGTGAGAGTGCCAGCGCGGATGCATCTCTCGTACTCCTCGGCCGGATGGGCACGAAATTCACGGGCAAACACCTCGAGGATCTTCTCACCCACCCAACGACCCTTGGTAAAGGTCGTGAAGGTGAAGTAGTAGGGGTACACTTTTCGGAGGCCTGGAACAGACAGAAGAGAATTGACATTAGTGGATTTTGTGGGAATGGGGTGAAGTGGAAATCGGTTTTCGTTGATGTTGGAGATTTCCAAATGCACTGTTAGAAAAAGATGAAATTTCATGGACAGTTGACTAGCAATTTTCAGGACAGTTACACTGAATGCGATTTTAGGGAGAAAAAATCATGAAATTTCAGGTTTCACTGAAAATTCAGTAAAATTTCAGAATTTTAAGCAGCATCAAGACAAGAATTCCTCAATTTATTTGAATTTCCAATTTAATATGAATATTCAGTGCCCAATTACGTTGAATTTTCACTGAAATCTGAAATTTCAGATTTTTTCCCTCTAAATCAAATTGAGTGTCAGTCCTGAAAATTCAAGAATAGATTAGTTTGCCATTCATTACAGTTCTCTTCGATTTTTCCACGAAATTCTGGATTTTCAATGATGAAATTCCTTGAAACTTCAGTGGTAGTTAAATTCGATAAAAATTTCCGAAAAGTATATCGGAAATTTCAGACAAAAAATTTTTAACAGTGTAGTTGGTGAAATTCACCAATTAGTTGTTGAATTTCAACAACTAGTTGGTGAAATTTAACAACTAATTAATGAATTTCGAATTCTTCATAACGAAATTATGTGAAATTTCAATGAGGAAAAAATTCCAAGTTTTTTAAATTATTTATTTAACGTATTGGAACCCGTAATATGGGTTATTTACACTGTCATTATGTAATTCCAAGGAGTTCACGAGATGTTTCAGCCAAAAATGTTAAAAATGTTATTTACCAAAAGCAGCCCGCTTGAACCTCTGATTCAATAAATTCAATTACTTTTGACTATCAAATTAAATAGTGAGGGCGTAGATAACTTTAGAAACAATCCCGTAATCATTTGTATCTTGATAATCAATCAATGTCTCGCCTAGCAGATATCACAATAAGAAGGTTTCGCAATAATCAATTTCGCAACCCAATTTGTTGTTAACTTTGATCCATCACAGATCCATCAAAAATTTTATTATTTAGGAGTGAAATCATCTTTCATACACCAAAGAGACTGAATTTATTGACACGCTATAATTCTTTCATCTGGATAGAATGAATGGATCATTGGGGTTTAGTGGAGGATTCATTTTGAATGAGTGAATCATTCATTCACTTCATATAATTAAACCTTTTCATTGAAATATTCTTTTTTTTTTCTTTTTTTTTCCATTTCATTGGTTTTATCGAAGTAATTCTCGATTTGAAACCCCTCCTCTAGCCTGCCGCCCCTCCTTTCTTTTCCTCTCATTGTTATCTGCGGTATCATGGCCGTCTTACTCTTAGCTGTACCCCATTCGACCTAGGACTGCACGGAAAACCATGTAAAACCCCAGTCGCACAGCCGGCCGATTTGTGCAGTGCCCTAATGTATCCATCTGTCACACTGACTAGATGGCGACACTAGGCCGCTAAACCGTACCTACCGCCCGCAATTTTTGTGCGAGTGAGGTGTTCCTAAGCGTTCACCCATCCAAGTACTAATCCAGCTCAACGCTGCTTAGCTTGGATGTCCGTCGGAGCAACACCTCACTCACCTAATCATTAGTTGGTCTTTTCATTGAAATAAATATATCAATTTATTATTTTCTCATAAAACAGTAGAAATGACAAAAAAAATTAAAATGAAGAGTTTGAGTTCATTTGAATGCGTCATTTTTCTGGGTGTATCGAAAATTGTAGAATAGTGAATATTTGAATATAACAGGATGAATAGAATAATTTAAAAACTGCAGTCAAGAGAAACAGAATGATGGAAGGAAAGTTTGACTTTTATTTGTAGGAGAGGTTAAACTATACGATTACAAGGCACATAAAAGAACTTTGAAAATTGTGGAAATGTTCTTGAAATGGAGAACGTGCAAAGTAAGCTAGTACCACAAATTCTGGAGAATATTCTCGGTTTCAGCATTTTCCCATTCACTTATTTTTTTATTCACTTGAATATTTGTTTTCATTCTTTCCTAGATATTTGGTTTGTTTGATCTGATAATTTTTTTGAATTTGTGAATATCATCAACTTTAAAAAATAGATAATAATACATAATTTTTCTTATTTTAAAAAGAATAGTGGAGAATTCCACTTCAAAATGAAACCGAAAGATATGAATTCTTTATTGTCAGTGGAGCTTTAAACCCATCGTTTTCAAGGCACATCCTAGGAGCTTAAAAATTTCAGTATGTGAATGTATCGATCCTCCTCAAGAGGAAAAAGTACCATGGGAGGTAGCCTCGCAACTTCACGAGAAAACCCAATTCTTTATTCAGTATTTTCTCAATTCAATTCTCCTTTATCTTGGAACTGAAATATTATTAGGAGCATTCTCCGCTTATTTCATACACGCAAGAAACCATGGGAATTGATCAATAATTCTAGGTGTAGTTTATGCGGGAAAGATTGAACATCCCCAAGAAGAGGATCCACTGATAGGATTTAGTTAATGTTGACGGGGCTTCTTAACTGTTAACGCGATTCGTTAATAGTTAACGAATGACAGTAATAGTTAAGAAGCCTCGTTTGACAGTTCACGGAGAAAAAGATAAAAATGACCGAAGAAGTCAAGTAAGAGGAAAAAGTACGCGACGAATAGTGAATTTTTCTCCGTTGACCCGGGGAAATTTACTGAACGCGAGGGTAATTTGTCGATTTTTCTCTCAAAAAATTCTCACTTCATCATGAAATCTTCATGTTCAGGCCGTGAACTCTTCATTGAAATCTGGCATTGTCTGACACATTATCCGGAATTCTTCTCCCAAGAAATTTATCCTCAAGAGATGAGATATTTGGCGCAAGAAATTAGTTTTGTGATATTATGGCGATATTTCTCTCAGTGTATAATTTTTCTGTAACAGAAAATGTTTTTTATCTGAATTTAAACCACAAATTAAGATGTCTAGGCACGTGTTCGTCTGAAATTCATACAAATCGTCATTTTATTCACACGTTTCTTAGCGTCTGAAAAATCTCTACAAAAGATGTGTGAAATCCAGATCCTCTTGCTGTGATCCCATCTCCCAAAATCCCCACTATCCCCCAACAATTCCCCAAAATTTTTAATTCTCCTTTTCCTCAATCCATCAAAAAGAACAGATCCCCCTCCAAATTCCCAAGCCCACAGCCCTCTCATCACCCCCACTCACCCCCAATCCCAAAATTCCTCCTTCACTGAAATCTGACATTGTCCGACACATCCGGAATTCTTCTCCCAAGAAATTTATCCTCAAGAGATGAGATATTTGGCGCAAGAAATTAGTTTTGTGATATTATGGCGATATTTCTCTCAGTGTATAATTTTTCTGTAACAGAGAATGTTTTTTATCTGAATTTAAACCACAAATTAAGATGTCTAGGCACCTGTTCGTCTGAAATTCATACAAATCATCATTTTATTCACACGTTTCTTAGCGTCTGAAAAATCTCAACAAAAGATGTGTGAAATCCAGACCCTCTTGCTGTGATCCCATCTCCCAAAATCCCCACTATCCCCCAACAATTCCCCAAAATTTTTAATTCTCCTTTTCCTCAATCCATCAAAAAGAACAGATCCCCCTCCAAATTCCCAAGCGCACAGCCCCCTCATCACCCCCACTCACCCCCAATCCCAAAATTCCTCCTTCACTGAAATCTGACATTGTCCGACACATTATCCGGAATTCTTCTCCCAAGAAATTTATCCTCAAGAGATGAGATATTTGGCGCAAGAAATTAGTTTTGTGATATTATGGCGATATTTCTCTCAGTGTATAATTTTTCTGTAACAGAGAATGTTTTTTATCTGAATTTAAACCACAAATTAAGATGTCTAGGCACCTGTTCGTCTGAAATTCATACAAATCATCATTTTATTCACACGTTTCTTAGCGTCTGAAAAATCTC